ACGGCACATAACAACAACAACAACAACAACACATAAACTCCCATTTAACTATGGACTTTGTCCCTTTCTTGTTTCTGCACTCATAACTCCTAACGCAGAAATATTTGCTGTGTAAGTAGAGAAATCATTACCATGAACGCTTAGGGAGTTCTGATGGCTTAGTGGTAGGGAATTGTACTGCCAATCCAAAGATAGAGGATTCGAAACCATCAGCCAGTATTTGGGAGAAAGATGGACACTCTCCTTCCAAGTGATTATTGCCTCTGAAAACTTGCAGAAGGATCAGAGGATCAGTGTTGACTCTGTGCTACTCCACAACCATCAACCTTTACTTCCTATAAGTCTCTAGGTGATCATGTATTTCAGATGAAGCTTATGCACCATTGTTTCAAGGCAGAAATAAAGGCAAAGTGTAGGGAGGCTTGTGTGTGATGACCAGGGATGTTTCTAGATGCCTGAAAGCATTCAGCAATGAAGATAGACATTTAACTCCCCAAACGGGTTTGTTAGAGGCCCATTTATGATTTTGTTTTTTGAAGTCCCATTTATTTGTATCCTTCTATTTAAATTCTGAGAAAAGCCAATTATCAGGCACAGAAAATATTTTTATTAACATTTATTTCCAAACCATTAAAGCAGTACACTTAATACATTCGCATTCATAAATATAACCATTTAAATAATCTACAATAAAAAGACAGCATATAAAGATAGTACACTAGTTCAGATGAAATGATTTCCATAGATATTGAAGCTGGGAGCCATTCACAGTCATGGCTGCTTCTTGCCTCTCTTTGATTTAGGTTAAGTAAGTAGTTAAAACTACCTTTCAATAAATAAATAAATAAATAGTCAAGCAGCCACTGCTGATAGAAGCTGGGAGTGAAGGACAGAGGGGGGTCTTTGAACAAATGTGAAATAGGGGTAGTCAGGCTGTCTCTGAGCAAGGGGGAGACATCGGAAAGGCTGGCTCAGCAAAGGGGCCAGAGAGGGAATCACAGGCTTGGCCTTGGGCACTAGGACAACCTTAGGCAGCTCCCGGCTGGAGGGTAGGAAACTCCTTGCCCAGACCTCCATGGAAAAGCCTACTGGCCTTAGTCTAGACAACTGTCAAGTCCTGGTTGAGGCCATGCTCCAAGCCGGCTTCAAGGGTCCTCAGTACACGTGGACTTTCCAGAACCAGGCCTCGTTGGGACTACACTTCCTCCATGGTGAAGTCAGTTATATCCTGGCCACCTCTGTTATTTCCTAGGAAGATGGGCATTTCATCCATTTGAGAGGTGCTGATGTACCAGTTGGGGTACTCTGCTGACTCAAATTCCACCTTATCCTTGACTTGCAGCTTGTTGAAGACAAATCGCTTTTCCATCTTCTTTTTGGGGTAAAGTTTAGGATCAGTTTTCTGCAGAAACATAGGGAGAAGCCCTTTTGTGAGGGGTCTGAGACACTCTGGTGAAGTTCTGTGGATTGGCTAGAAAGGAACTGGTGGGCAGACTGCTGGGCAGGAAATAGGTGCTGTCTTTGTGACTCTCACTTTCCGATATTGAGGTAATGGGAATTCTCCTGGGCAGCACAAATGTTTAAGGGCTCAACAACCAGCTGAAACACTACTGGTTCAAGCTTACCAATAGGCTCCCGAGATGACCTCGTTTTGAAAGGAGCTCCTCTACTCTGTACACACCAGAACTGACTTGATGGCTAAGGAACTCTTATCATATACTGAAGCTTAGTCTCAAGTGCTGGGGAGCATAATGGGAGTTGGATTTTTTTCTAAAGTGCAAAGTAAATTAAAACTCCTCTTATTAGGACATCAAATTGGAAACAAAACTTTGGCTGGCAAAGTTGTGTGGGGAGAGTGAAGAATATGGTGGATGACTGTCTTCCCTTAACTAGTTGATTTATGAAAATATTATCTATCAGTTGGAGCAAGCCCGATAATGATTGATAATCTTCCCAATACTAATGGCACAAGAACATTTCATATCATCAGCAAAATGATGTCATTGATGAGTAAATGCTGCATTATTATGAAATGAAACTGATTTTTTTATAGGTACACAAATTGTCGGGTAGATTGGTCCCTAGATTTTCTGGGGAGGAGAAGGAGGTTGGCCTCGAAGTAATAGTGGAGGAGCTTCAGAGAAGCCTGAGAGGATATTAACTCCTGGTACTCACCTCCAGCTGCAGGGTGGGCTTCCCATCACTCATCACACAGGACAGGTACAAACTATTTCCCTTGAGGCCCAAGGCCACAGGGATCTTCTCTTGACTTATTTCTCCTTGTACAAACACCATGGAGAACACCACTGGAGAAAGAACAGAGATTGTGGTCTAGTTTAATTTCCTGTTCCAGGATCAGTAGAAATTGACATACTCTGTGGGAACTCACACACAGATCCTTTTGGCCTAATAGGAAAGGTGACCTGGCTTCTCCCAGACAATATTGTTGTTGTTATGCGCCTTCAAATAGAATGCGACTCATAGCGACCCTATGTACAACAGCCCTAAACTCTGCTCTATCCTGTGCCAATCTCACTGTTTCTGACACACCTACCCCTGAATCAATCCACCTCATCGAGGGTCTTCTTCTCCTGTGATCTCCCTCCACCCTCCCAAGCATGACATCCCTTTCCAAGTACTGGTCCCTCCTTGCAACATGTCCAAACTATGTCAGACGAAGCCTCAGAATCCTTGCCTCCAAGGAGCAACCTGGTATAACCCTCTCCAGGATGAAGCTGTTAATTTCCTTAGCAGTCCCTGGTATATCCAATACTCTTCTCCAGCACCACAGCTCAAAGGCATCAAGTCTCCTTCTATCATCTCTAGTCATTGTCCAGCTTTCTCACACATAGCAAGTGATTACAAAGGCCATGGCCTGTTTCACCTCTTACTGAAAAAGAAATGTGCAGAGACAATCAATCTGGCTCTACTGCTAGGGTGGAAACAAGTTAATTTTTTATTTTTCCTATCAGTTTTTACTTATTGAGAGTTTATCTTAATATCCCTTTTGGTTAAAAACATGAAGGTTAGCAAGCTACCAGCAGGTCAGGAAGGAAAAACAAAACATCATAAGTTATGCAGTCCATGAAGTCAGTGATCTACATTCTACTGCTTATAGGTGGCCACCTCTGGGTCTCTCCTTGTTCAGAAAAAAAAAGAAGTGGAGAGAAGAAGAGATGTATAGAAAAAAGGAGCATAAGGGACTCACACATCATATGAACGTAAACTTCCATGAAACCAAGACCAGAAATACTAGATGGTACCCAGCTACCACTTTTGTTTACTCTAAAATGTATCATCACAGCAGAAGTCCTGGACGGAATGGGAGAAAGTTTGGAACAAAAGTAAAAATCATAAAAATGTCCAGACTTTTTGATCTGATACAGACTAATGGGAGCCCTGACACTATGGCCTTAGTTATCCTTCAAGTCTGGAACAAAAGTCATTTGTGTAGCTTTACTTTCACCAAAAGAACAGACAGGTGTCAGTAGACAGGGAACAGTAACCCCAGGAGGGCATGTGGTCCTTACATCAATCACATAAGCTACAAAAGACAACATTTCCCAGGGATAAAGTTCAGAAGAATCAATGGAAATAATCACAGGGAGTAAATGGGAATAATGATGTTATGTTTTATTGTAATTAATGTTATAAAATAATTGTGAGTTAATTGGAAAGTCAGTTTACTCTGTAAACTTTCACACAAATATTAATTAAAAAAAATGTTCCAAGTTACCTTGTTGTTCTATATTCTCACCATTGAGGTGAAGGGCCTGTAGCTCATATGGACCCGACATCACCAAGCACTTTTGGTCTATGTCCCGGAGCCTGCAGTTTAGGGACAGTACAGCCACGTCACACTCATAGATGTCATCCAAGTCAATGAATTCTGAAATGTGAAACGCAGGTCCCGAAATGGAAAATCAGAAGGGCAAGTCTGATGACATGAGGCTGCAGAATCTGGCTTCTTGGGTGACATCTGTACAAGTATATCCAATATTCAATTATGATATTAAGGTGGAAGGAGTTTGGGGTGGGAGAAAAAAGTAAGAATATCTAACTCTATAGGATTGTAGCTCAATTGCTTGTTGCAATAGCACATAATGCAAGTTTTGCACATGTGAGTAGCTATCATGATCTTACTTTAACAACAATTTCAACTTAAACCCTAGAACAAGTACTTCACAGTCAATTTTGATTTCTGGAAACCCCAGGTAGACTTGAACCACCAACCTTTTGATAAGAAGCAAGTTATTCTAACTTTACCACCCAAAGATTCCATCTGAAAATAAGATTACATTGACTTGTAAGATTCTCTGTTCTCTCTTACCTGGGCCTTCTGTCATTTAATGGTTTCCGCTTCCAGGGTATTTATTTGACTATTGCATTATTAGGGGCTCTGGTGGCCTAGTGGCAAGAAGCTGCTCTTAAATCACAAAGGCACACAGTTCAAGGCCATCAGTTGTTCCACAGGAGGATGGACAATCTCCTCCCGAGTGATTAACTGCCTCTGAAAACCCTCCAGAGGGTCAGCTGTGGGCCAGCTCGGGCTCTAAGGTACACAACAACAACAGCAACATCGCATTATTAGGGAAACTATGGTGCCCTAGTTCGTAGGAAATTGAGGCTCCACCTCTCTGATGGTTTGAATCCTCCAGATGGGCATTCTCCTCCCATGCAATTGACAGTAACTGAAACCTAATGATGGTCAGCCTTGAGAGATAG